CCCAAGGTCCTGCCCGTGCTTCTGGCTGTGGCGCGTGGCGCGGACGAGCCGCTGCGGGAGTATGCGCTGGAGCAGCTCACACAGCTGGTGTGGGGTGGGGTGGATTGGTTGGGGGTGGTGAATTTGGCGGTGTGGGGGTGGGCGTGTGCGACATGCGCCAGAGTGGGGTTCGAGTGTTTGGGGGGGGGGATGACAACTTTCAAGAGGCAGAGTTGCGTCAAGGTGGCAGGGTGGGCTGGGTTGAGGCAGGCGGCGTTTGGGCGAGCGTTGGTGGGTAACAGGGTAAAACGGGAGGGGCTGGGTTGTGACTTGACTAAAATCGAGAGGGTGCAGACACCCAGGACAGCTTTGCGATCAGAGTGTTTGTGGGGACGTGCTGCCGAGGCCGCGGCAGCCAAGTGCCGCCTCCCCCCCCCGCCTTTCACACATTGCAGCCAGCTGCCAACCAACATGGCCCCGCTCACACCCTCCCCTCCTTTCCCCCGTCCTGCCCACTTCGCGTCCCCCCAGGTCCGTACCGTGCGGCAGCACATCCGCCGCTTCCTGCCAGAGCTGCTGGCGCTGCTGCAGGTGAGGGAGGGACCACGGGCTGGCATGCGGTATGGTGGGCCGTGTGTGTGTGTGTGTGTGTGTGTGTGTGTGTGTGTGTGTGTGTGTGTGTGTGTGTGTGTGTGTGTTTGGGTGTGTGCATATGTGTGTGTGCATATATGTGTGTGCATGTATGTGTGTGTGCGCGCGCGTGTGCATGTGTTTTGGGCCGCGTGTATATCGGTGTATGTGTGCGCGTTGTGTTGTGTGTCTGTTGCATGTGTGTGTGTTGTGTATTTTGTGTGTGTGTGTGTGTGTGTGTGTGTGTTCCGCATTTGTGTGTGTTGTCAGAAGCATTCACTGGGAATCGATGCTGTACGACAGCACGAGCAGACGGCATGTGAGCGACAGCTTGCTGACACTGGGGGGTAGCCCAGTGTCAGCACAGTGCGCGTCAAGGACTCGCCAACCACCCATGTATAATCATTGTACACGCCTCAGATTATAACTCCAACAACTCAACTGATCTCCCTGGAACCGCACCGCCGCCGCCGCTGCCGCGCCAGGAGTTTTGGGGCAGCAGCGTGCGCATCACGCACTACTGCCTGCAGCTGCTGGCGGAGCTGGCCCTCTCCCTGAGGGACGACCTGCGGCCCCACGTGCCCGAGCTGCTGCCGCGCTTTGTGGGGCTGTTTGTGGAGGCGGAGAGGACGGGGGTGTTCGACATGGTGCGGCCGGCGCTGGGGGCACTCGAGGTGAGGAGTTTTGTGGGGGTAGGGGGGGAGTTGGTGGGGTTGGGGCGATGGGACCAGAGTGTACTGCTGGCTGGGGGTGCGTGGTGGGCGTGGCGGCAGGTTGTATG